CACACACACACACACACACAGACCCAAATAATAAATTTCATAAAAATTTGTTGAGTAGTTTCAGATAGGAAACCTGTAGATGGAACCTCCCTACATGCTTTCCTTTGTGCACTTCATGCAAAATAAAATTCCAGAACCAGATATTCATGAAAAAAATATTTATATTACTGTAATATAATTTATTAATTGTAAACTTTCATAAAACGACATCCATGTACCTCTATTGTAGTAACATTTTCTGCTGGCATATAAACATAAAATAACAATAACCAACTGTCTGGGGAGAAGGCTATACCAATATATATCTTAAATGGGCTTTCACTGCATAAATAGATGTTACATATATCTTAACTTTGCTCTGTACGGATGTGTTCAAACACCTGAATGATACAGTGTTGATATTTGTACTATAGCAAAATTAAAAGCCTAAACAATATATATACATATATAGTGCTCTAATTGCAAAACTCTGTGTGTGATTACTTGTGTAAGAACATGGTTCACTCTCTGAATCATGTTGTAAATTCTTCCAAATGTAAATACTTTACTGTGTTGCTTCTCTTAACAGTTATCAAACCAAGAAGAAAGTAATAATCAAAATTTGGAAGGCCACATATGAAAATAAACTATAAAATCAAATTATTACATTACCTAGTTCATGAAAAAAGACATTACTAACAAGAAAAATGTATTACTTAGACCCAACAGAACATTTACTGAAAGAATTACAATTAATTTTACTTACTGCTGGCATTAGAAACAGATTATTATAACTGTTCTTACTTTGCATGTTGTAATGTGAGTAGTATGCTCCATACATTTGGTACTATTAAAACCATGCATACTGACAGGGTGACCATCCTTCCATGTTAAAATTACAGGTTTCAGTCATACATTTTATTAACTGACTTTGATTTTTCATAGTCTATTCCAAATTCAGTTTGAGGTTTTACAACACTTCTCTTCAAAGTCATTAGCTTTTTTCAAAGTCTACAATTAATTAATGCATTGCATATAATTTTACCCCCCCTCCTTCATCCTGCATATTTTCTGAATATAAAAGGTATCTACTATACACAAATTCATACTATTGATCCCCGGCAATGTCATCTAAGCACAATATAAAACTGGCCCCAAGAACGTTGAATAATACTTCTGTATAAATCTGATATAAGTCAAGAGTCACATTATATCACTGAACATATTCATTATTTTATTAAGAAAGACAGGATACTGGTATCGACACTTTCATGTGCCTATCATCCATCTGTGTCTATCCACCCTAACAACTTTTGAACCAACAAACAGATTTTCATGAAACTCAATAGAAATATCATTCCACTGAACTCCATCCACTATCATACATTTTGTTTGCCTACCATCAACAACACCAACATGACAGGCTAAGTGAACTTGTGTGATGGACACAACACTAGCGTCACTTAATGCAGGCTTCTTAAATTCTCTTCTTCCTAAGACATTTTCACTTTGTGTGAATCATTTGCATATACATTTTTTAAATACTTACTACTTTTGTTTTGGTAACTTTTATACTGTTAAATAAAACAACAGATGTACATTTAGCTTTTGTTTCACAATCATAACTAATGAATCATTTGAGCTAGTAATGTGAAATTTGGTGTGGAAATTAAATCATAAACATACCTACATATGATATATGAAATACTGGTTATACATTAGCAATTACATACATCACAACAATCTGAAACAATGAGCTGAATTCTGACAAATTAAACACAAATAGATACTGTACTGCTGGAAAATATTCACAGTAATAAATAACTAAATAATAATTACAGTTTCAGCCTCAATCCAGACAACAGAGAATTATGTACTAATGTATGGAACCATAGCATGGAAGAAATGTTCCATGTATTGCATAGTCCCATGAAACAAGAGCTGGGTGGTCACCCTAATGAGAAACCATTCTTATTCAAGTGGTATTAAACATAATATGAATAAATTCAAAGAAATGAGCATGCCAAAACTAATTGACACTAGCTGGCGAAACAAGTGAGATTATGGACTGCATAATACTTTTAGCACCAATATTACGTTCCTCTGAAGTATTTTAATCTTTCACAAATGGGAACAACATAAAGTGAAAAAAGGGCCTACGTATATGTCGACAGTGCAAAAGTAAAGTTTGTTCACATGATCATAAGTCCCCGAGAATGTCATACTTTATGCAAACTGCCAAAATGCATAATTTGAAGCATATTTTGTGTATGGTATGTAAGGATATTTCATTTTGTATATGCATAATTTTCAGACATCACCACAATTGATTTGTTAATAAAAATGAATTTTATGTAATAAATCTGTAATTTCCTTAGCAACAAAGAAACAGCTAATGACATGTGCACAAAATATTTCCATTACAGTGTGAAGTAATGTTTTCTCCCTTATTTGTATACTTGATTCTTCAGAATTCATCTTCTGAGATGTATTTGGTTAGAATTATCAATTTCCACTAGTAAACAATTGTAAAGGATAAATACATCAAACACATAAATAGGGGTGCAGAAATATGAAATATTGAGGCACCCATATATAACAATTACATTTGTAGGAATGCTCTGATTCTGCAGCAGAAATCAACATACACTGTCTTCTTTCAATAGTTAGTGTGAAGTAGACTTTTAATCCATCTCTGCATAAACTCAGTTGAATAAATTTTGTATTCCTCCTCAATGGGAAAGACTGGAAAACTGAACTCAATAACTGATAAATTCTCAGTTTCTCAAAAACATACTGCTATAATACACAAAGAAATTACCAAAACAAAAGTTACACATTTTTCAAAGATCTATTACCACAAAGAACTTCAGAACTACATAATTAACCTCATCCACACCACAGAAGGAGGTATGGCTACCATGTTGGTATTATTGATAGTAGGATATTATAAAATATAAGGGTGGTGTGATGTCTATGGTCATGATGTTTGTGACAAGTTTCATGAAAGTCAAAAAATCCACCAACTGGTTGTAATGGGGTGGAGTGTGGGCAAACAGACTCATAGTCATGGTGATAAAGCCTGTATTTCCACATAAATTAAGGAAAGTAGGCTGATGTGTTACATACAGAATTTGTAGTTATATTTATGATTCATCGCCACACAAAAATTTCAACCATCCTCTGGCATGTTTTGAGTATTCATTGGAAGGATCTAAGAAACACCACAAAATACCTTGTCAGTGGTAGTCTCCTCAGTTGTAACATGGTGTGTATCTCACATCAGGTCAGATGCACTGCCACTGCTCACTTCAACAAAGTCAGTAACACCTAAAACATAATAACTGCTATTAGGATTCCACCACAGAAGACTTGAAGGGAAAATACTCCTTACAATAAAGGCTGTATAAGAACCATTATTCATATTTTTTAACATACAAACACAAAATGTCCAGTCATTGTAAAGGGTAATATTACATATCCCTCTACCATTATTAATATTAAAACTGCTGACCTGTAAAAATATAAAAATACCATCAAGCCAAACATATAACAACTGGTATCAATACCTTCAAAGCTTTTGGAGACTTAACAGCCCATTGGTAACTATATTTACCACCAGCTTTAACAGTCAATAATTCTGCATTTTTCCCAGACTGTATCGGTTTCATATGCTTCTCAGAGTAAACAGCAATTACTTCCCT